AAGTTATAACAGTTAGTACAGACACCGCTTTCATCACTGAAACATTCCTTTGTCGCAAAACAAGTTTATAAATTAAAGAAAATAATTACAGTGTGTTTAATATATTACAGTATATTATAAATAAATAAATAAACAAATAATTCGGTAAATCTATTTCAAGTAAATGGAAAATAAGCAAACAAATGTTATTTACCAAGACGCTTCCCTCTGGCTCAGGGTGAGATGTAGGGGTAGATAACAAGGCTATTTATAGCCCGTCTTTGTGTCTGAAGTGGCCAGTACCCTAATGCACCATAAATAATTCATTGAACATTCATTTTTTGTACATAGTATATTCAGTACACACATATGTATATATATATATATATATATATATATATATATATATATATATATATATATATATATATATATATATATATATATATATATATATATATATATATATATATATATATATATATATGTTTGTGTAATAAATGTATGTAGTAAGTACATACCGGTAACCTTTTTCACTCAAATCCTAATGAAACACCACAATTAGAATACGGTGGTTGCTGTTGAACCACCTGTTGTATAAATAGTCGGAACACAGTCACACCACCGAGACGAGGGAACACTCCCACCACCGATCGTCTCGTGCGAAGCAAGCGTATAAATGAAAGAAAATACTTGCAGTGTGTTTAATATGTTACAGTATATTATAAATAAATAAATAAACAAATAAATCGGTAAATCCATTTCAAGTAAATGGAAAAATTTTACTCGACACCGACATTAGTTCCAGTTACCGGTAAATAGCAGACGCTTCAGTGACGTCACTAGTGTTTACACTACACCAGCGGGTATATTTGATGACATTACTTGAAGTGAATTGGCCTTATTTTAAAAAACCAAGGATGGTTGGTAAAGGACTACTGAGTCAGTGGGTAAGTGTCACATTTGGGGTACTGGTCTTATACAGCAAATAGAGCTCAAAAGCTACTTTTTAAATGGAAATTTGGGGGGGGCCGTCTTATGCACCCCGCCGCCTTATAGGCCGTGATATACGGTATATACACACAGTAGTACCCCTATTTACGCGGTCAATTGAACCCACAGGGTACCGCGGAAAGTGAAAACCGCGTAAAGTGAACAACAGAACATATGGGATTAATTCCAATCGATACTGGCCCAACCCCCAAACTCCACTTTTTCCGACACAATACCTATGTTGTATTAAAAATAACATCTAAATTTTATGATGGTATGCTCACACAATTATTATTTAAGAGAAATACAGTCGCCAGGTTAATGTCCATTCAAATAATGGACTCAAATCCCCTCCCCCCCTCTTCCCAGCTCACTAGCTCCTACCTCTGTGAGAAATGTTTGGGTGAAAACACTAGATTTTAACGTTTGGTAATAAATAATACCTCAGACTAAAGTTAGGATAATATAATTGACATTTCTGGATTCCTTGCAGGTCAGGGAATATTTTGAATGTAAACTTCATATATTTTGCACAAAAGATAAAATATTTGCTTTGTGTAAACCAAATTATTACATTAGATCTAAAATTTGTATGTCTAATGAAAAATCCCTGATGTTTATTTTCAAAATGATCATCATATTGTAAGAATTCCAGCAATGTAAATTATATTCTGGCCGGGTAATTTGTGTGAATTTTATGAGCTAAATAAAAAATTATACTTCACCCGCGTATATGAGTAGACGCACCGCGTAAAATGAATTTCCGGTTCTGGCTAGGTACCGTATAAATGTAGAATCGGCGTGGTTGGACAAGCTTGTTTCGCGAAAAAGGGAGGCTACCATTATACCTGGTAGGTGAAGCTGACCTGACATTTATGGTGATCATTAAGGACCAAACTTCGAATCCGATGACCTGAATTCGTGTTCATTATTCTCATCCTAAATTTACCACTGTAAGTAGTTTCAAGAATGTACGCAGTCATTTACTGAATATTTCTTGTAAAAAAATAAGTTTTAAATGAATTATTTATAAGAGATAAGTATTATGATCAGTAAATATACCTATATGCATTACTGACCACCTCGGACACAAAGACGGGCTAAAAATAGCCCCATCTCCTCCTCTTACAGCGGTCACTTTCCCTTTTTTGTCTCGTCACTGGCAAATGGTGGGGGCGGTGAGTGATGATAGCTGTGTTTATTACAGAGGTATATTGTTCTTTTACGGTATGTTAGACAGGTTTATAATACATTTTTATTATTTTAATATACCGGTAATCTTATTTTTAATCCAGCTTCCCAATCTTTCAAAGCCGGAAGAAATCCCCATTCCAGGAATTTTCTGGGTATCGGTAAAATTTTCTCGGAAGTTACAAAAATTGCGCATTACATCATCTCTCAAACCTAGAAAGAACTCCCCCATCCCCGGAATATTTCCGGATACCGGAATTTTCTCAAAAATTTCGAGAATTATGCATTATTTCATCTCTCAAAGTCGGAAAAAATCTCCCATTCCCGGAATTTTAAGGGTACCAGAAAATTTTTCTCGGAATTTGTGGAAAATGCACCTGATTTTCGCCTTTCAAACCTGAAAAAAATTCCCCCAATCACAGAATTTTCCCGAATTTTCCGGGTACCAGGAAAATTTTCTCTGAATTTTCTAGAAAAAAGCCCCTTAGAAAATCGTTTCCAAAGCCAGTATTTTCTGAAAAATTCCAGCTTTGGGAATGATTTACCGAGAAAATTTCAATTCCGCCTATTGGGGAGTTCCGGTTAAGAGGATTTCCGAGTAATGGAGATATTATTACTGATTACCCTTTCCCCTTTACTGTCAGCCTCAAATCATATTCAAATTCAAATCATTTATTGACAATCAGCCTCAAATGAGGGGTACATGATAAAACAGTGCTCTGAGGGTCACAGAGCAAGCACTGCCACACATGAAACCAGCTGATGAACTGCCAGACTTAGACTTAGTTGATGACTCTTTACGAGAGAATACAGTCTCTCCTCGACTTACGACAGCCCAGACTTAAGACGGTCATTGTCGTTATATTATATTAAAATACTGTATTTTACTTTATTTTCGAGTCCAGACGCGTGGTCGTAATGTCTAACGTCGTCTTACGATAACTTCGGCTGGCACGCTGCCGCGTGTGTACAGCATCCACGTCGTATCCCGCTCAGTTTGTGTATTAAAAACGTAAAAGTTTTACAATTATTACCTGTACTATGGAGGAGAGACTGTTCACGGAATGGGATATTAAAAAAAGTGCATCCTTGATGTATTTTGTTTTTTTACAGTACAGTTGTACCCCACTTAATGCGGTCAATAGAACCCAGAGGGTCCCGTGTTAAGTGAAATCCGCGTTAAGTGAACAACAGAACATATGGGATTAATTCCAATAGAAACCAGCCCGACCCCCAAACTCCACTTTTTGAAGACACATAACTATGTTGTAGTAAAAATAACATCTTAATTTTATGATGGTACATGCACACAATTAATACTTAAGAGAAGTAGAGAAATACAGTCGCCAAGTTAATGTCCATTCAAATAATGGACTCGACTCCCTCCCCCTCTTCTCACACTGCTAAATTTTAATAAATAATACCTCAAACTAAAGTTAGGATAATACAATTGACATTGCTGGATTCCTTGTAAAACCAGGAATATTTTGAATATAAATGTCATATATTTTGCACAAAAGATAACATATTTACTAGAGAAAACATTTTATCTAAAATTTGTATGTCTAATGCAAAATATATGATGTTTATTTTAAAAATGATCACCAAATTATAAGAATTCCAGCAATGTAAATTATATTCTGGCCGGGTAATTTGTATGAATTTTATGAGCTAAAACAAATATCTTCAGTTAATAAAAAAAAAAATATTCTTCAGGACACTATCTGTCAACCAAAGTACCCCACCTTGCCTCCCCCCTCTTCCAACCGCGCGGTCAGTCCCAACCCTCCCCCCCACCTCCCACCAATCCTCCCTTCAAGAGAAGAGTGGGTGAAAAAAATAAATTTTAACATTTTGTATTAAATAATACCTCAGATTAAAGTTAGGATAATATAATTGACATTGCTGGATTCCTTGTAAGACCAGGAATATTTTGAATATAAATGTCATATATTTTGCACAAAAGATAACATATTTACTAGAGAAAACATTTTATCTAAAATTTGTATGTCTAATGCAAAATATATGATGTATATATTCAAAATGATCATCAAATTATAAGAATTCCAGCAATGTAAATTATATTCTGACCGGGTAATTTGTATGAATTTTATGAGCTAAAACAAATATCTTCAGTTAATAAAAAAAAAATATATTCTTCACGGGGTAACAGATGGTCGGTCGGTCCTCTCTCCCCCCCCCACCAACCGTCCCAAGGAGATGTGTGGGAAAACCACTAAATTTTAATAAATAATACCTCAAACTAAAGTTAGGATAATATAATTGACATTGCTGAATTCCTTGTAAGACCAGGAATATTTTGAATATAAATGTCATATATTTTGCACAAAAGATAACATATTTACTAGAGAAAACATTTTATCTAAAATTTGTATGTCTAATGCAAAATATATGATGTTTATATTCAAAATGATCACCAAATTATAAGAATTCCAGCAATGTAAATTATACTCTGGCCGGGTAATTTGTATGAATTTTATGAGCTAAAACAGGCAGTCAGGCAGGGTGGCGGGTGGGGCAAATCTAAAAATAGCGTCTCGAGCCGGACACTCACCGCGTATATGTGGAAAAAATCCGTGTTAAGTGAAAGTTCAGCTCTGGCGAGGCACCGCGTATATGATAAAAAGCGTTAAGTGAAACTGCGTTAGGCGGGGTAATACTGTATTTTAAAAAAATGTTGGTTTTCTGAGAGTTCTTGATACCATAACCTGATTTTCAGGTTTCTAGGCCATAAATGATAAAAAAAAAAATTGTTGCTCTATTTTAATGCTCATCCATATTGGTCCACGAAGGTAAATTTCATATTCTTTTTACAGGTGCTGCTTTTGTTGTAGGAACTCCTGGGAGACTGAGGGAGGCTCTGACAAGCTTTGACAACACCCGACTTCCAGTACACAACTTAAGGATTCTAATTTTAGATGAAGCTGATCGTCTGCTGGATAATGGCTCACACACTCAGCATGTGCATAAAATCTTTTCTGCTCTTCCACAAGGTATTCATGATTTTATTCCAGTTTGATATTATGAATTTTTTTATACATATATGAGGCTATGTGTACCATAAGTTTGTAACCGCCAAAAAAAGAAAAACACCAGAAAACGTAGTTAAAGTTTCGGACCATAGTCCGAAGCCCAGGGGTTAAACATGTGATACCTGTAAGTGATGTCCCCATTAGCCGGAACAATTGTTGCAGAGCACTTCCAGGGATAAGAGATTTCCGGCTAACCAGACGACTTTCTCAAACCCAGAAAAATTCATTATCCCCGGAATCTTTTCGGGATACTGGGAAAAGTTTCCGAGTGTCTAAACTAGACATCATGCACAGACGGGCACTCGCCCACTTCCCCAGAATGTTTCTGGGTGCTGGGTATGTTTTCCTTGAGTCTAAACTACTGGAGTCCGTAAATGCAGTTCTAATTAAGCTAGAAACTCCATTTCTTCACTATAATAATCCATGAATGAAACTGTGTGTTACAGCAAAGACTGTTATTTTTCACTTCCATGGAGCTGTCGGGGATTACTGGGTCTTGTGTAACTAACCTGACCTGACTCAATGTCAGGTGGAGGTAGGGTGGGGGATATGTATTTCTCATATTACTGACCTTCTGAAGGAATGTCAGGTCACCCTTTCTTGGTTGGGGGATTAGTGGGTCTCATGACCTGAAGACGTCTTGAATAAACATAAAACCTAAAGTATTTATTAGGGAGATTGTGATAAGTATAAGTATAAATGAGCAAAGTTGCATCTCTTCAACATTACGTACCGTAGTAGGTACAGGGTAGTAGGTAGCTACCAAACAAGGAGGTACTACTGCCTGGGAAGATATTGGAAGCATAATGTATTGTCTAATGGTAGACCCTGCTGCCATATGGCATCACAAAAATTGTGACCAAGTCCCAGGTTGCTGATCTGACTTTCTGCCTCAATTACACACAATTGTAGGGTCTCAATTGTTTCTCTTACTATTGACAACAACAGCATACATATATTGTTTCTCACTTTTGATCTTATTATTATTATTATTAATATTATTACAGTGTTATTATTATTATTATTATTATTATTATTATTATTATTGTTATCATTATTATTATTACAGTATTATTATTATTATTATTATTATTATTATTATTATTATTATTATTATTATTATTATTATTATTATTATTATTATTATTATTATTATTATTATTATTATTATTATTATTATTATTATTATTATTATTATTACCCCAGGCCCTGATGTGGGCCAGTGACCTGTGCCCAGGTGGTCTAATCCCTGTAAAAAACAAAAACATTTTAAAATATGGAGTGAGAAAGCAGAAAGGTGTGAGTAATTAGAGAGATGGAGTGGAAATGAGTGTTGCCAAGCGCTCCTCAACAGTTGATATTTAACTCACTACCATGCAGTGACACACACAAATGTGTCATACAATAAGACCTTCACTCCTCATGCTTGTTGTCCTAATTACCTTGTTGGAGTGTGTGGGTGGTTGTTGGAGTGTGTGGGTGGTGGAGTGTGTGGGTGGTTGTTGGAGTGTGTGGGTGGTTGCTGGAGTGTGTGGGTGGTTGCTGGAGTGTGTGGGTGGTGGATTGTGTGGGTGGTTGTTGGAGTGTGTGGGTGGTTGTTGGAGTGTGTGGGTGGTTGTTGGAGTGTGTGTGGGTGTGTGTGATAAACGGTTTATTAATAGAGTTGCAGCCGGTGGCTGAAAATATACAAACTTACATGTGATTTGGACATAATAATATGCGTTGAATACATTTACAAGGCTGTGCAGTGCATAAATCAGGAGTTGTTTATTATTTTAACAATAGATGGGATGGTGCTATTCTTTATATCTATCAGTGCGGACTCTTATGGGATGAATTTTGTTGTAGTGGCGGACTGCGTGAGGTGGGCGGGGGACTGCCGGTGGCAGGAGGTGGTGTTGACAAGGATGGTGCAGTAGTCCACTGCCAAACCTTGCTAATGCTTGGTGGAGGAGGTCACTGAGGGATGGCATTTCCAGGGTGGAGAAAGCGTTGTTGTAGCCTGGAGTAGTCTGCACCGAGCATGATTCTGCAGGCCCTTTTCTGTACCTTCTCCAGCTGACGTTGTTGGGTAGAGTTGAGAGAAGACGACCAGGCTGGTGACGCATACGTTAGTTTGGGGAGAATAACGGCGTTGTAGATAGTCCTCAGCTCTGGCGTGGGTGCCCCAAGTGACTTAAGTCATCGTAGCATGTAGAGTCGGTACGAGGCTGCCTTGATTGTGTTGTTTATATGGGCCTTCCAGTCCAGTTTGTGGTCTATGGTAACACCCAGGAGTTTGGCAGACTGCACTAACTGGAGAGGATGGGCACCCACTGTGACTGCTGGAGCTTGCACTGGAGTGGTGGCGGTATTGATGTGCATGACTACGGTTTTGGTGTGGTTGATGGTGACCTTGTTCTCAGTAGTCCATGCCTGTAGCCTGTCCAGGGTGCCTTGTAGCGATGAGTAGTCCAGTGAGGTGTTGTCCACTGTAACCCCCACAGTGCAGTCATCCACGTACTTCCACTTGTGAGGAGTGTCCGATAGAGCGTCGTTGATCAGGATCAGGAAGTACAGTGGTCCCATCTTGGTCCCCTGGGGAACACTGCAGGTGAGGTGTTGGAATGTGGAGACAGAACCCTGGTACCTCACTGCCTGACGACGTTCACTCAAGAAATCAGTGAGCCATGAGACCAGGTTGGTGGGCAGCCCTAGTGTGTGTGTGTGTGTGTGTGTGTGTGTGCGTGTGTGCGCGCATATGCTTGCCTGCCTTTTTGGGGGGTGAGGGTCATGTGGTCACTTTTCTCCCTCCCCTTCCTCACTCAAGTATGGCTAATTGTGATAGCACAATGATCGTTATTAAATTCTCTCCGAGACATTTCCAATAAGATATCCGTAAACCAAATATTTCTATATACTGTAATATAATGATGAGAATTCTATTCTTTTATGAAAAAAACAAAAACATAAGAAATGTTGATACCGGAGTCAATAAAATCAGTTTTAATCTCATTAGACACACCATTTTTTATCAAAATATTCCTGAATACTTCATCTAAATGTTTGGTAAAATAAATGTATTTACAAAAAAAAGAAGAAGCTCTATATGATTTGGGCATGAATAGAGCTGTTACAGCAAAGAAAGTGTGGTATTATTTTCCCAAGAGTAACAATGCAACTCGTGTGAGCTGTAGTTATTAACGCAAACACCACTGTACAAGTACAATATTGTTCATACTGTAAACATAATAATGTATACTACTGCATATACTGTATTGTACTCACCAGCAGATCCTGACAACCTTAGCCTCAAGTAGGCAGACATTTCACTCAGCTGACTATAATACATAACTGTAATCATTGAATTGAATTGTAACAGTCATGTCTTAACACTTGTTTTGGAGGTTGGGTGGGAGATTATTGGGTCATGTTACTAACCTGACATGATGCAATGTCAGTTCACCCATTGTTGGGTGGGGGATTAGTGGGTCTTGACCTGAAGATGTCTTCAATGATATATTTTTACTTATGAGGTATATACATAGTACTGTACTGTATTGTTTATGAAGGATACAGGTATTAATATGCACAGATTATTACAGTAATGTAACATTACTAATTAATGAAAAACAATTAAACAATAGTGTATCATGAATGAGGCAGTATTTGCTGACAAACAATCAGTGAGAGCTGACCCTTTGTGGGTGGTGGGGGGGTGAGCAGAGCAGTCACATTCCAATGGACTGCTCTCTCCCTACCTCTATGAGACGTTTCCAATATAATATCCAGAAATGACAAGCTGAATAATTAGTTAAAAATAATTTCATGTAAATCCACAATGAAAACGTGGATAAGATAAATCTTGATAAAATCACACGGGAAAATGGAAACAACGGAGTACCTTAGCTTTCGTCTTTATTCAAGACATCTTCAGAGGCAACTGGATTACATGGACAGAGAGAGGCTTAAATATACAGGGTGACCTAAAAACATGAGGTCAGGTCATAATGATGACATCCACTAATCCCCACACCAACACACACGTAGAGGAGCTTAAGAGAAGGGTGATGACGTGACTAGACAGGTCAGGTCAGAAAAAAGGGACCCACAAAATAACTATCATACATCAAGATCAAAGGTTTTCAAAGCATTTTTAACCTTGGGCCACTGACAAATAAATTTATGTAACATATTATCAGTTTTGAACCGCTTCCGGTTTCACGTTATGCGTTTCCACGTTTACGCGGTACCCTGCCGAACACAGAATGCTCACTTTACGCGGTGCGTGTACCCTTTTACGCGGAGAGCGGCTGGCGGTCCTCTCGAAGCGCGCCATTTTTGGATTCAAACCTCCCACCATCTCTCCCGCCATCCCGCCATGTTGGGGAAGCGGCGCGAGTAGGTTGCGCAGTGTATGTCTTTGTTGCGTTATCGGTGACGTCATGTGACGTATCGGACTGTGATTGGGCGAAGCATCCTTACCTCCCTCCCCCGCTAGCTGTGATTGGTTTAATGTACTATGACTTGCCCCGCCGCGGGAGCGTTCAAGCCCCTTGACCTACCCACGTCAGTTACACCCCTCCCGGATACACTGTGTATATCGGTGTCCATTGTTCCATAAGAATGGCTTCCACCGGACCACCACCACAAAGAAACCTTGCATTACCTGGACCCAGCCGCCCTAAGCCAAAGAAGATACGACGTTCCCTAAGCTACGAAATTAAATACAAGATCATCCAAGAGTTGGAGAAAGGAACAAGACAGGTTGATCTCGCGCGCCAACATGGTGTTAACGAATCTACGATCCGGACAATTAAGAAGGATGCAGCCAAGATAAAGGAGCCCATGAACATCACAAAGTCTACAGGTGCTTCTATGATCAAGTACAGCTAGACCCCGACTTACGACGGGGTTAGGGACCCAAATCCAGGTCGTAAGTCCGAATGGTCGTAAGTCCGACATAGATTTAAAAAAAAAAA